CCATCACATCTTATTTACTAGAAGTCTGTGTTTAACAGCCACACCAACAGCGGAAAGAGAAAGAGAAAGACTGTTGGATTCAAAACAAAACAAAACAAACCCCAAAAGCAGATTCAATAACCAGATGCTAGTAGTGACACTAAGCAACTATGGGACAAGAGGTAAATAGTGCAATAAGTTAATGATGGGAGGCCTTAATGGACTAGTGATGTTGATCATCTTTATTAACAAGGAAGGATGGGCCCAACTATGAGAAAGGTGACGAATTTTACAGACAATTTCATTACTTGTCCTGACTTGCCTAAATGGAGACTGAGGCACAGAAGAGCCTAACACCATTGGGTGAAGGGAAGCAGCCTGACAGCAGATAAAAATCTGGGTTGACAAGTCAGGCACACGAGGAAAAATAAGTTTGCTTAGTTTAAGTGCTGCAGGCTTTTCTGTCAACGCTAACTGCATAGGAAGGGAACACAACCATCCTTGTGGACTGCTCAGTGCAACCCCCCCCCCCCAAACCAAACAAAAAAAAACATCTCTCCTCAGTAAGCAGCAGTAGTAAAAAGAAAGCTAATCCAGTGATGAAATGCATCAATAGTATTGCCCCATCTCAGAAGGGATATAGGAGAAAGAAGTGGAAATACAGCTGAGAAGTAGGGTGGGGGAAGAGGGAGTGAGGAAGTGGTGCAGAGAAACTGAGAAATCAAGGACTGTTAATGGGCAGATCAGGAACTTGGGAGCCAGAGTAACCCAAAATAGGGAAGGGTAGATATGGGTCTGTATGTTCCCACTTTCTCTCTCGCATAGTGCACAGACAAGGGGCATCCTTGTAAACTGTAAGGCAATTATTTTTAAAAAGGGTATTTCATCAAAAGCACAGCATATAATTAATCGGTGGAATTCACTGGTAACACCTCAACAGGCATCAAAGGATGAGGAAAACAGACACTTCCGTTTTAGGGCATAAACTGGAGTTAGGTAAGAATTTTCCTCTTAAGGGACAGATGTGATGCCTTCCTAAGCACCTGGTAATGGCCAGGAAAACATTATATGGCTACTGGTCCTATCAGGTAGGGCATTTCATACCACCACATTGGTTTAATATCGACTCACAAAACAGGGCAATACAGAAAGTCCCCAGGCTTATGTCCTACAGCTACCTTGATGCTCCTTTTCCACCCTCGTCCCATCCCAAATCAAACTGCTTATGGAGATCAGCTTAGGATCATGGAGTACAACACAGAGTAATTCAAAATAGGTAGGAGAAACTGCTTGCGCAGCTGCGAGCCACACCTGGTTCCCCTCCTTGAAGCTAAGCCCAAAGTCAATGAGTTTAAAGCACTCCTCCTCCGCACTCCACAGAATGTTGCGTGGCTTGAGATCTGCATGCACATAGCCTTTATGGTGAAGGAAAGCCAGGGCTTCGAGGACATCTCGGGCGCAGTGCTGGATCATCCACATGGAGCAGCCCTGATTGCTGGAGTGAAGGAGCAGCTCTGAAACGCTGATATCCAGCAGCTCCAGCAGGAGGCAGCGTGAAGGCCCATTGGCAGAGAAGTGGTTGGTGAACACACCATACAGCGTCACTGGAATCAGAAGCAATCCAAGAGCTTGGTGAGGTTGATGCAACTTGTGGCCCCGCTGCACTCCTCCTCCTCCTCCTCCTCCTCTAAGATGCTGGGGGAGTATATGCAAGACCCTGGCCTCAAGCATATTTTAAGATGCTTATTGCTTAGCCACTGATTTATAAATTAGGACTTCTTGCTGAAGCAACAGCGTCATCAGTTACTGTCCATGCTTCCCATGGGTCACAACCCACCTGAACTTGTGCTGCTGCCTCTGGGCTGCTGGGAACAGCATGTCTGCTTGGTTAAGGCCCTGGGCTACGGATAGCTGGCCTGAATTTCCAATGCACACTAACTCCTGCTGCGACCTTGGGCAAATCACTCCATTTATCCTGTGCCACGTCCCACCCTCATTTAGACTGGGTTTCACAGACTACAAGATGCATCTTTCAGCACATTTCCATGCAAGGCCCTGCTCTCCATCGAGTCTCTTAAGTACAGGAAATATTTCAGTCTGCAACATCAGTATGTGAGATGCAACCCGTGAGAAAGGTAGTTCTTCCAAACATGGCCTGGAAAGAGCAAACTGTCCTTATTACCAGCTACCATAACTGGCCTCCAGCCTCCTCACTACACAGAAAGCTCTGGAGGCCTGTAGGAACAGGGCCCAGGGTGGAACACCCTACCTGGATGCCTCTGGCAGCGGTGGCAGGGAAGAAAAAGTCTTCCAGCTGGGGAACCAGCACAACCAGAGAAGCAGCATCATGGGCAAGCAACAAAGCAAAACAGGTCTGGAGTATGGTGAAGGCTGCATAGTCCACCAGAACACCTACCCAGGACATGCTCTGTACTTTACTCACTGCATTGCCCAAGGGAGTGGACACTGTAGTGACTACATGGCTGAGATATGACTACGTATGGGCAAAGGGGGGTCACAAGAACTGCTTCAGCATGTGATGTTCCTCAGCACTCCACCCTCTAAGGCCCTTATCATTCCCACCCTGGCTGCAGGCCCCTGTCTGCAGGAGACTGTAGGGTAAGATGTATTCCCAGGTCCCCAGAGACCAGCACTAGCATGTCCCCAGACAAAGTTTCCTCCATTTCTCAGGCCAACTCTCCTCAGGCCCTAGCAGGTCAAATGTTAGACTCTGCATGAGCTGCAAGGCAGATGCAGCTCCCATAGCCAAGCCCACACAGTAGCAAGGCCCCACACAGCTCCAGCCAGGTCCAAATCCAGCTCAGCTAAGCTAGTGGAAGTTTACCCTCACGTTCCCCAACTTGGCCCTTAGAAGACCAACTGCCCCACTCTGGTAAGAGAAGGGATACAAGGTTACCCTGGAAATGAATTTATACTACTATCACCACCTCCAAGGGTTTTCCC